GTTTTCTATTAAAGAAATACAACTAATGACTTAAATGTTAATCACACATTAATTATTTCTTTTTCTATGTCTTATAAACATGAAAAATAAAAAAGAAACACAGAACATTTGAAAAATAAATTTCTTTATGTTTTCTTATCTATTAGTTTAGAAATGGTCATTGAACCCAAAAAAAAAAATGTTTTCTATTTTAGTTAGACACACATACACATAAAATAAATAGAAAAAAAAAATACTTTTAGCTTCAATTATGCTTTGTAAACGTTTAATAAACATTTTAAAGATTTTTTTAAATAAAAAAGAAAATTGCATTATTTTAAAAAGAAATAGTTAAAGAGATTCAATGATATCTTGACACCAAACCTATTTTGTTTTCAAAATTAAGTTTAAATCCTTAGGGTGTGTTTTTTTTAACCAGCTGATTTCATAGAAGTTTCGTTATGTTTAAATATTAAAATTTAATATGTTTTGTTGTGGAATTTAAACGTAAATTGTGTCATTTATAGTTTTTTTTTTTTTTTTTTTTTGCAGGAATCATTTTTTCATCATAAAATTACACTTTTTTTCAGTCCTTTATTATTTTTTAAATAATGTTTTCTGGACTCATATTAAACACTTTATTAGTCCTTTATAGAGTTCTTTTTGGTTTTCTAAATCCAAACTTGGATTTTAAAAATATTTTTTAGTTTTTTTTTTGTAATTTTGTAAATTATTTGTTGTTATTTTATTTAATTGTTTATTTTTTAACTTAATTTTTTTTTTAAATTATTTTGAAATAATGTTCTTCGAAAAATTAAAAAAAGAAGATTTTGTGCATAAAACACTTTTTAAATAAGATAGAAGTGAAAAATTTAATTTTACTAAAATCTAATTTAAAAAATTTTTTAATAAAAATTTATATTTTTATTAAAAATTTTAGTAAAAAATTGAATTTTTAGTAAAAAAAGATGTATTTTGAAAGAAAAATGTATAAGTTTATTAAAAATGTATTGTTTTAATAAAAATTTATAGTTTAAATGAAAATTCATATTATTAACGAAATTTCATATTTTTAATGAAAATTCATAATTCATTTTATGATAAGTAGTTAGTGAAAAATCTGATATACAGTGAGTATTAATGAATAATTAAGATATTAGCTAAAAATCTGTTAAAATGTAATTTAAAAAAACTCAACAATTTTCGTGAAAAATTTAAATTTTTTAATGAAAATTTATATTTTTAATAAAAATTGATATTTTTAATTAAACATTTTAATGAAACTCCAATTTTTACTGAAAATCTAAATTTTATTGAAAAATTTATCTATTTACTTATAATTCATCGTTATAATGAATATTCATATTATTAATGAAAAATCCATACTATTAATGGAAATTAATATATTTAATTAAAATTAATGTTTTTTATGAAAATTCATATTTTTAATTACAATTTATACAGAGTTTTAATAAAAATTGAGGTTTTTATTAACAATTTAGTTTTTTAGTGCAAATTCAGTTTCAGAGTGAAAACTCATTTTTAGGAAAATTTAAATTTTTAAGCGAAAAATCAAAATTTTAGTGAAATATCGCATTTTTAGCGAAAAATATGAATTTTTGTCAAGAGTAAGATTTTGAGTGAAAAATTCGGATTTTCAAGAAGAATCCTATTTTTTATGAAAATTTGATTTTTAGTAAAAAAATTGATTTGAAATAAAAAATTCAAGATTTCAAAATTCGAATTATTTAGTAGAAATCAAATTTTTAGTAAATAATAATAATAAAATAATAATAATAATAATTTTAGAGAATTTAATTTTAGAAAATTTACATATTTAGTTAAAATTTTTAAGGAAAAAAATCGAAATATTTTAGAGAAAATTTAAATTTTTGGTCATAATTTTGATTTTAGGTGAAAAATCTTTATCAAAAGTTAAAAATCAAACCAAAAAAAGTTTTTACAGAAATATCTAGTTTTTTAATAAAAAAAATTCTAGATTTTTAGTGAAATTTAAGATTTTAATCTGATTTTCAGTAAAAATTCAATTTTTTAAATAAAATTTTCGTAAAAATTTATTAAAAATAAAACTTTTAATAAAAAATCAAACAAAAATAAAGTTTTTATAGAAAAATCGAGTTTTTTAATTAAAAAAATCTAGAATTTTAATAAAAATTTAAGATTTAAATTTGATTTTCAAATTGAAATTAAATTCAATATTTAAAATAAAATTTTTGTGAAAAATTCTAATTTTGATTAAAAATAAAACATTTAATAAAAATTCACAACAAAAATAAAGTTTTACAGAACAATCGAGTTTTTTAATAGAAAAATCTAGATATTTAATAAAAATTTAAGATTTTAATTTGATTTTGAGTAAAAATTTAATTATTTTAAATAAAATTTTTGTAAAAAATTCTAATCTTTATTAAAAATTAAGCTTTTTGTAAAAAAATCAAACAAAAAAAAATTTTTTTTACAGAAATATATAGTTTTTTAATAGAAAAATCTAGATTTTTAATAAAAATTTAAGATTTAAATCAGATTTTCAATAAAAATTAAATTTTTTAAATAAAAATTTTGTAAAAAATCTAATTTTTATTAAAAATAAAAAAATTAGTGAAAAAATCAAACCAAAAACAACTTTTTTAAGAAAAAATTTAAATTTTTAATAAAAATATAAGATTTTAATCTGATTTTCAGTAAAAATTTAATATTATAAATAAAATTTTTGTAAAAAATGTAATTTTTTTTAATAAAAAATCTATATTTTTAATAAAAATTTTAGATTTTAATCTGATTTTTAGTAAAAATTCATTTTGTTCAAATAAAATTTTGTAAAAACTCTAATTTCTATAAAAAAAAACATTAAAATTTTATAGAAAATTTAAGTTTTTTTATAAAAAAAAATCTAGATTTTTAATGAAAATTTAAGATTTAAATCTAATTTTCAGTAAAAATTAAAATTTTTAAATATATTTTTTGTAAAAGATCTAATTTTTATTAAAAATTAAACTTTTAGCAAAGTTTTTAAAGAAAAATTTAAATTTAGAGAAAAAATCTAGTTTTTTATGGATTGATAATGAGAGACCGAATGATCGAAAAAGCTTTCGCGTTGCCAGCACATTTTAATATAAAAAATAAGCTAAAATTTACAAAATGAAAAATTATGATAAATTTTAGTCGATCACGAATGCTGCTACAGTCGAAATCGGGTCGTTTATTATTGATCGTAACTATGTTTTTTAGATGATGATCATCAAAGTTGTTATGTAGTGATAATGTGAGGCCGACTGATCGAAAAAGCTTTCGCGTCGCCAACACATTTAAATATCAAAATTAAGCTAAAATTTACAAAATGATTTTATGTTTTTTAGATGATGAATCTTCGATATCGAAGAAGAAATTTAGTTCATTTTAGCTTAATTTCGATATCGAAAAGTGTTTTTGATACGAAAGCTACTGCGATCACGTATGCGATCATTCCGATTAGTAAAAATCCTGATTTTGAACCGAAAATATTAGAGTTTTGTAAATAACAAAGATATAATGAACAGAGGCCTGTGGCTTAATGATTACATTAAGTCATTAATTACTGTGTCAATTACACTTACTTGTAATGTGTAATTAAGCAATATCCAATTACAATTACTTGTGATTGTAATTGAAGTATTACCAATTATAATTACTTGTAGTTGTTATTGAATTGTTACAAATTACAATTAATTGTAATTGAATTACTATAAATTACATTGTAGTGGAAACAATTACATGTAATTTAGGAAATATAATAATAATTATTGGCAAAATTGTAATTTGTAATTGAGCAATAGCCAATTACAATTACTAATTATAATTGATATAATACCAATTATAATTACTTGTATTGTAATTAAATTGTTACGAATTACAATTTATTGTAATTGAATTACAACAACTTACATGTAATTGTAATGAAAATCTTAACAATTACTTGTAATTTAGAAAATGTAATGGTAATTATTGTTAAAAATATAATGATTACTTTCATAGTTACTTTTTTAACAATTAATTACTACCGAATTACAATCACAAGTAATTGTAATTGGTTGTAATTCAATTACAATTAATTAAAAATATTTCTTTAAGATTAGATGCTCTTAGGAAAAGAACCAGTAATTGGTTCTGCTATTACTATTAATAGAGAATCCTTTTGAAAACTTTTTTTGAATTTTTTTTTAATTAATTTAATCACTAAATTTTTTAGCACAATTTTCCAACATTTTAAATTTAATTTAATGAAGAACATTATTTCCAGTTTAAAAATTGCAGTCCTTTATTATTATTATTTTTTTTTAATTATATTTTTTAAATAATTTTTATATAATTTGTATTTCTTTTTAAAACAATTTTCTTATATTTTGCAAAAACACACTATTTTGAAATGAAATCCAGTATTTGCATGTAATATTTAAAGTTAAAATTTAAATTTTTTATTATTATTTTTTTTTTTTTCATTTCTCTTTGGCTTTATTTTGTGTAAATCTTATACAATCACTGATAAATTTATGTTTTAATTAGGGGCTATGTTTTTTTTTTTTTTTTAATTAATGCCATTTTGAAATTTTTAATCCATTGCTTAAAAATTTTTGGTTTCTTTTAAAATTTTTTAAATAATTTTCATTATGTTTTGGGTTTATTTTCTATTTTTTTAAATTTTTTTCATGTTTTTTCAATATTTTAATTTTTTTAATAATTTTATGTTGAATTTAAATTTTTCTATAAATATTTTTCTAATTCATTCACAATAAATATGAAAAAAGGGGGAAGGAAAAATTACGTCACTTCCGTCATGCACTCCATATACTTTTTTTCATATTTCGTTACATTTGATATGATTTTCTTATTTTTTCGTTATAATTTTCAAATGCACTTGTGCATTTTGGACACTTTATTTAACGTTTCAATTCCACAATTTCCAACTTTAAAGTAAATATTTTGAATTTGATTTTCAATTTTTTTTTAATAAATCTAAAACTAACCGTTTTCGCATTAAGTGTGTTTCGTCCGCTTTGTTAAATATATATTGAACCGATATTTTAAGTTTGACAAACGTTAGAATTGTTTTAAATTTTCTTTACAACAAAATGTTTTAAGTTTCTTTTTGTGTGGATTTCAATGCAGCACTATGAAAAACGCTCGCTCTTTTATGATTTTTTTTTTTTGTTTTTCATGAGTGAGATTGTGTGTGTGTTTGGTTTTTTTTTTATTTTTTATAAATGTATTTGTAATATTTAATGTTGTTTTTGTTGCTATTAATGTTGTTGTTGTTGTATTATCATGCTGTGTGACTACGACGATATTGTTGTTGTTGTTGATGATGATGATGGTGGTGGTAGTGGTGGTGGTGGCCCGACGACGAGTAACAATAACGCGGTACAAACGATACGCAAAACAACATACCCGCGATACGCTCAATACGAAGTGTAGCCAAAGACTGCCTCAAAATGTTATCGAGTTCGCTGTATTCCATCCATCTAGCCAGTCAGCCAGCCAGTCATTCATCCATCCTCAACATTGTTGGCTAGTAGTTGTTGTTTGTTTGCTTGCTTGTGTGTTTTTTTTTTAGTTGCTTGCTGTTTGAGTACGCTGCCACTTTACCAGCCTGTGCTGTCTGCCCGTCTACATGCCAACCAGCCAGCCACCAGTCAGCTTAACTGATTCCCTACATAACGCAGTACAAACACACACACACATATGGCTAACGACGTCGGCGTCCTCCATATCGTATTAAGTCAACGTCGCTGCTGCTGAGTTTTTGTGGAAAACTTACGCTCGCGGGCTCCCCAAAACAGTAAAATCTGTATAGAAAACAACGGCCACAATGAACCAACGAACGAACTTACACGTACTTACGCTCTTAAACCGGTGAGCGAGCGTTTATTACGTATTTCAATCGTCAAGTAGAAACTACAAAGTAATATTTATAGTTTAGAGAAAGAAGAGAGTTAAAATGAAAATTGTTTATTTGAATTTTCTTTATGTGCTCTCTTAATGTTGTGTGGTGGAAAGATACAAATACTAAAAACTATCTTCAAATTACATAAACAACAACAACAGTAACAGCAACTATAACTTGTACTTCATTAGATATAAAAAACAAAATATGTGGTATGTGGCACTTAAAGCACACACATACAAATTTCGTAAATTTTGCAGCTCAACACTCACTCACTCACGAACATGCCAGTCAAACAACAAAAACACACATTTAACGAATGATTAACGAACGGTACTGTTACAGCAATCACAACAACAACAACCACAACAACAGTTAAAAAATATACATAATAATATTACAACATACAATGCTCCCCAAAAAAAAAAAAAAAAAAAAAAAACAATTTCACTCACTATTCCTCTTCCTCTTTCTTGCTTTCATAACTTTCTTTACTCTTTTACTTTATCAACAACATTAAAATGAATTCCCACTCTCACTGTTAAAACAGAGAGCAATATTTTTATCACTGCAAACTATGCTTCTCTTTAATATGATAAACAGGCATGATAATATAAAGTACTTTACTGCAGTTTTTTTGGTACTTTTTACGATTAGGGAAGAATTAGTTTAATCAAGAGATATTGATAAGAACTTTTCACTCGAGATCCCTTTCAGAAAATTATTAGTATTGCTATAATACGGCACAAATAAGTCTTATATAACACATAAACAATGTCGAATTTTGCACCAACGAATCAAGCTAACTTCGGAAAACCTGTTCTAAAATGAAGTTGAGATAGAGTTATGCATGAAAAAACCGAATTCTCGCCGAAACTTTTGGTGCCAAAGACCTAGAATTGGAGGCATTACTGCATGAAGATTGTTATCGGAATCATTGGCAGCTACTCAAGCAACATTTTGAAAACGTTGCTCATAAAGCAGGATTCACTTAAAATCGGCTAAATTGCGTACCATACAAATTGATGCCGAGAGCCCATGTATGATAATTTTGCATGTCCGAAATGCTGCATCAACAATATATGAGAAACACACACACAAGCGTAAGATATCGTATATGAAGCTTGGTCAACAGTCAACATTGACAGCAAAGCAATGCTCTGTAATTGGTGGGATCAAAAGTGGGCCGAACCATTACATGACATGACAACGCTCGGTTACATATTTAGTAAGAAGTGGTTGGGAAGTTTCTATCCGACCGGTACTTATTTCGATTGATGTAGAACGCTGTCTCTAGGGTACACTTCACTTCAGAACAGGCTATCCGAAATTAACTTCGAATCATTACTTGCGATAAAAATGGAGTCATTACTATAACCCGAAGCGTAAGAAAACGTATGTGATGCTTGGACAATAGGCAAATTGACACCGAAGCTAAAAATTCATAGTGCTACGTTAATGCTCTGCATTTGGTGGAATCTAAAGTTGTTGAAATCTTTCCAAATCATCGCAGAAAATATGTTCCGAATGTATTTTAATCGTTTGAAAAGAAATTTGGCTGAAAACGCTCAGAATATGCGGCCAACCATGAACCGGAGATTTGGAAGTTTTGTCTCGATTGAAGCAGAACGCTCACTCTAGGATACGCTTCACTTCAGAACAGGGTATCTGAAATTTGCTTGTTTCATTTCTGGCCTCAAAAGATGCGTAGCTCTATAGCGAGAAAGATGGAAAAAGGCCCTCTATATAAATAATAGAGTAATGTTCGTTCGTAATCGATAAACTAGGAAACTACGGCACCTAATCGGACGAATTTTCAACTATAGCTATGTATCCAAAGTCGTGAGAAGTGTTCCTGTGAGGTATTATATTTGTCCGATAGATGACGTTGGAATTTTGGGATATTTGTATAAGACCATCAGACGGACATCGCTAAATTGTCTCAGAAAGTAATTCTTAATGGATTTCAGAACCAAAATTTCTATCTATTGTTGCCGCTGGAACTCTGTAAAAATTGAGGCTACTCCGCACACGTGTATAAAGAGTTCTAGGCAAAGGTCTAGGACTGGTCGAAAACTAATCCGAATATATGAATAAGACATGATCCATTTAACCATGCGATGTCCTAGGTGAGGGCCACGTAATACATACATTTATTACACCATACCCCAATCCCAAAAATACTCCTTTGATAAAACAATGGAATACATGATACACACACTAAGTAATACGGAATATTTCCTCTAGTGGACACTCTGAAATATTTCAGGGAATCTTTAACGGACCGCAGATTACCATCCGGCAACCGCAGATGTACAAAATTCCAGAACTTAGAACTTACAAGTCTCGCAGGAAATAAGTAATCTTTGTTATAAAATAAAAATTTTCAGTTCCAAATTATGTCCAAAACCAATTTAATCACGAAAACGATAATAGATTTAACTTCCCCAATTTTTTAAATCTTTTATCGTGAATCAATTTAGATTTCAATTCATCTTAAAATGCAATTTTACAGATTTCTCTAAAAAATACTAAACTAAACAAATAGTACTTTAAAGAACTCAGACCATGATGCATCATCACACTCTCTCTCTCTGAATATATGTATATTGGTTTCTTATTTAACACGCTCTTTTAATGAAACGAGCCCCAAAACTGTAAACATTTCGTCATCTTTGGATTGAATGACCGAAGAAAAAACAAACCATTTCTACGTTCCTACAATGAACAATTACATTACATATAAGAAGCTAGCACAAAGAGAAATGCATTTATGTATGCATTTAAAAGAGTATTTTTTTTATTAAGAGTATCTGAAAAGGGAGTTAATGTTTAATGTTATTGCTGCTGCTGCTGCTCATGATGATGGTAAAATAACATAAATTTCTTTTGTATACGATATGAGATGGAGCATTATTTCTTTTAATGGATTTTTGTTGCTTCATTTATGTTATGATATTTTCTCAACATTTGTTCATCTTTATGCAGTCGTCTTAAACATCGTTTTGTTCGGTTGTTTTCGTTCGTTCATTTATAAATTTTGCTGACTGGGTATGTGTGTCTCTGTGCCGATTTTTTTGTATCTTCTGTTTTACTATTTTCATTCGTAAGTTTAAATGTTTGTATTTTTGTTGCTGTTGTAATGACGTTAATGTATCTACTGCTCTGCAGTCGCAGTTCGTTCACTACTTTGCTGTTAAAAGTTGTCGAACTTTTTTTTTTTGTAAATTTCTTATTAAATCTCTTTGCCGCAGTAAGGGAAATAGTTGGCTGGTTGGTTGCTGTTGTTGCTATTTGACAGAAACAGCTGTTTTTAGCTGTTTAATGGAATGAGCATAAAATTCGTCGTTGTGTTTACCTTTTTTTCAGATTTGTTTCCCTTTTTTTTGTTTTTGCCGTGTAAGGTGAATAACTTTTTATTATATGAGAGAAAACAAAATAAAAATATACAAAAGTACAAGTACGTAGAAATATTTTGTTTCCCTCTACTCTTTTCAGCAACTCTCGCTCTCTTTAAACTGCTAAATGTTGTGATTTAAGAGATTTGAGTTGAAGTTGGTGTTTTTTTTTTTGTTTTTTGTTGCAGTTTTTGTCCTATAATTATTTCAAACACTTGTGCACAACACGTTTAAGATTTTTGCTTTAAATTATGTGATAAATAATTCACACACCTAAAGTAGTACAATGGGCCAAAGAGATCATTAAACAGAAATGAATTTTAAATACATGCTATTAAATTAGATGCGGATTTGGAAATCTACACATACACACATGGAACATTTAACTTGTAAATACAAACTTTAAATTTTGTACGGAATATTTTTGTATTTAAATTACTTAGAAATGTTTAGAAATTGCAAGACCCGACAATATGTGTCATAAGTTGATGTTTAACCAATAGTTTCGTAGGAATATACCTATTAAGGTTGCTAAAAGTTCTTCATCGCTTTTTCCTCCGAATCATTACATGCAATGAAACATGGATCCATTACCATAACCCGAAGCGTAAGAGTTCCAATCAGCCGAATCGAAACCAAAGCGAATTATTTTAGGTAACATACTGCATTTGATGGTATCTAAAGGGTCCTATCTAGTATGAGATGCTGAAATTTGGCCGGGAAACGAGCATTGTCCGCATAAGGTACAGCCCAACCAAAATAATAGTAGTCAAGCCCAACATTAATCCCTGAAGAATGTTGTCCAACTCAACAAGAATTTACAAATTTCATTGAAAGCTACTCAACAGCAATTTTAAGCAGAGAAATTGGGTACCGAAAACCGATAGACCTTGAAAAACAATTTTCATGTCCGAAATGCTGCTTGAATAGAGTTCAAGCAGCTTTTCAATAAACAATTTTGTACCGATTTAATTACGAAAAGCCGAAGCTTAAGAGATGGTATTTGAACCACGGCCAATCAGCCAAATTTATACCAAATGCTCTATATTTGGTAGGAACAATAGGGTTCTATATATTATGATCTGACCAGACCGCCACAGAGAACCTATATTGAAGGCAACCGATATGTTTGAGAATTTGCCGAATAACGTCCTGTGAAAGTAGTGATAAGGAAGATTTGTTCCTTACCACCTTATAGTCTAGAAAAGGTCAAACTTATCAATATATCCTATATAGATGAGAGAAATTTTGTTCGTTTTTGATACAGATTCCTGACTATTGTACACAGGCAAGTCAATTGGCTAATCCTTAGAATAGTTACTGCACTAGTCAATAGATTGGGCAACGGACTAGTCAATAGGTTAGACCATAGAGTAGATAATGACTAGTATATGGAATAGTTGAACAAGCAAACAATTGACCAGTCAATAGACTAGTCATTTGGACTTCTCAATAGACAATAAACTAGCCAATAGATTGAAGTCACTACACTAGTCAATAGATTAGCCAACGGTCTTATTAATAGATTATTAATAGAATGGCTAATGTACTAGTCAGTGAATAAGACAATAATCATTGCGCTAGTCAATGCATTAGTCAATAGACTATTCAAATGGACTCATCAATAAACTAGTCTATAAACTATCCGACTAGTTAAATGGACTAAGCAATAGACTAGTTAATGAACAAGTCAATGGACCAATCACTGCTCTAATCAATGGCGTAGTCAATGGACTAATCAATAAATTAGTAGACAATGGACAAGTCAATAGACTAGTAAATCAACTAATCAATGTACTACTCAATAGACTAGTCAATGAACCAGTTACTGCCGTAATCAATAGCGTATTCAA